GTGGAAGCTCCTTTTATACCCATTTCTGCCTGATTGTGGTTGACAAGTATAAAATGTCCAAAAAAAAAAAAAAAAAAAAAACTCCAAATGTCTTTTTCATTTGACCAATTCAATAAGGTTTTGTGTCTTAATTTTATTGCAGGTTTTCTACTAGTGTTTCAACTGATTTGGAAACAGATTTTGTGTATCATTTTTAATATATTTAATAATTTTTGTAATCTTTCAAGGGCTGCACAGTGACTTAAAGACCCTCGAAGATCAGAGCTTTAAATGTCCGTAAATGCACCTTTACAAACGGTTGCATGATGGAGTAAAACTAGGTGGGCTCATTTTAGAGTAACCCCTGAGATTAAAAAGGTCACATGCATCAGCGTCTGCTTTTAAAGTGACGACTTTAAAAATGGACTTTTAATGAGAAATTTAACACTTCAATTCACATCCACTGATTTTACACTCTGTGAAGTTTACAGTTCAAGCTACATTTTCAGAGGCACATTTACACCAGCAGCATACCTGGATGGTTCACTGACCTACTGCTAATTAATGGACCTCAATCAAGACAGGAGTTCATATTCTCATCAAGACAAAACAGTGCATGCAGGCCTACCTGTATATTTCATTCTAACTTCCTCCCACGCTGCACGCAGGTAGAAAACACACAACTGAGTCCACAAGCGCCCGACAACGACCCCCCCCCCCCCCAACCCTCCGTCCGAGGGGATAGGTTTCACAGCTAAGATTAGACAACTTCCTCAGATGACGGTCAAACCATCTGTGTCCTATAAGAGGAAACAGGACTTAAAGACTGTTTGGGTAGAACCCACCCCTCGGCTGGGCCTCCAGGTGAAACTCAGGCTGAACTAATCTGGTTAACAACCTGTGGTCACTCTTCAGCCCCAGCTAGCTGATGGCTAATGACCCACAAGGGAACGCAACAGGAAAGATCTTTTTGTTCTTGGTTACACATTAACACAGACGGCAGCAGGAACCTGCAGCTCTCCGCAGGTGTGTGAAGATGGAGGAGTGGTTACAGATAAATGAAATGTAACAAAAACACTGTTGGCTACAGCATGTGTACAACAGACATACAACGCAGTCAAAACAGTCATTCAGCCCATAACCAATAAAAAGATGTCAGGACTCACCGTACAGTACAACACTTGACACGGAACGGAGGAGATCTGTAACTGGATCTGATCTGAGCAGGACTTAAAAGCTTTCTGGAAGAAGAAAAAAAAAAAAGGAGCAACATCAGTTGGCACGAACCAGAACAACTTGTTTCGTTCCTGTTTAGCAGTTACATAAATATCAGTCAGTCATGTACAACTCTGTGAGTGACAGTGAGTGACTCAGGCACCCTTTCAGGTTTTTTTTTGTTTTGTTGTTTTTTTTTTTTAAAAAGGCATGTCTGAATGATTCATTAGGATACAAGACACTTGTTATGAAAGAAAAACCAAGAGTGCGTCAGCGGCCACGTGTCGTGGCTACAGCTCTGGTTGACTGTAGCATCGTGAAAACCCTGAAAAAGCACAAAACCAAGGCCTAAAACGGAGTCGGAAAATAAATACTGTGGTCCGTAATCTTTTTTTTTTTTCTTGCACACAAACAAACCTTGCATTTTTGCCTAAACAGGATTCCTTAGGATGGCTTGAGATTAGAGCTAGAACACACACAGACTAATATGAGTCTGGTGACTACCTGCGCTACAGGTATCAGAAAAAGAATGAAACATATAAGAACATATAATGAGCTTCCAGGCAGGAGACCAAAGAAAATGATAAAGAGAAGGTAAACATGACTATGGTGGGCATTAAGACTGTAGCTTTAAGGGCAGACTACTGGGAAAGAAAACATGCTTGACCTTTTCTTATATTCACAGCCGTTCTATGGTGAACAATGCAAATGTCATATCAAGACAAATGGGAAGAAGAAAATAAATCCTTATCAAACAAAGCAGTTTTTAAACTGTGACAAAAGCAAATAAATACAGAGACGGTCTAACTCCCAGCTTTTCTTTTTGGCTTGTGACCCCATTTTGACATTACAAATTTCTGGTGACCCCAGAGACGTGATCGTAACAGTCTATCACGCTGTAAACGTGATTTATATTCATCAAAGCGAAATAATAGGGTTGTTTAAGACTGTGTGGTGTTTTTATAGAATACTTTATAAAAAAATACTTTTATCAGTATTTTTTTTTTAACCAATTACCAGAGACTTTCAGCAACCACATTTGAATTCCAGGCGACATCAAAAGGGGTCACAACCCTAAGGTTGAAAAACCTTGGTCTAACTGTTAAACAGGTGAACTTTTTGACTTTAAACACAGGTGAAATTCCTCTTAATTACCACCTTGAATTCTAAAACCTCACATTTGCAACATTGGGCCAACCCTACAGTCACAGTAGTCTAAGTCTAGACCCACTTGTTTGCTATATAAACTGACCCAGAGGTCTTAATAGGATGTGGTGCGACAGTGTACATTTTCCACTGCTATAAAAGACACAGAGAGTTCAGGGTTTTGTGAGTCGTGTGTCAACAGGAAACAGCATTAAAAGTTAAGAAAGGGCTGCGGAGGCTGCAAACCCACTGTGCTGAATATTCAGCAGGCTCGTTTTTCCCCTAATAAAAGCTAAGGCCGCAGATTTAATGGAGGGAAAAAGCCCTTAAGAGAAAATTGGATATTTTTATACTCTGTTAAGGAATCCAGTGACAAGAGGAAAGGTTGGCTACTTTTACACATGTCCTGGTAAAACCAACAAAGTCCTGGAGAGGTTTTATATTTTTGTGTCTTCTAAGGCAGCGACCATTAATGAACGTGTGACCACCAGACAACTTTATAAGAGTGCAACTACATTTTACTGTCAACTTTCTATTTTGTGTGACTTTTGCTAAATTAAAAAAAAAAATCTAGTGATTAAAGCTTCTGAAATGTGAGAGTGTTTTTTATTCTTACGGCCTCTAACGATAGTCATCTGAAATACTTTTGGTCTGTGAACAAAAATAAAACACCACGGGATGTTTTTGAGATTTAAGCCACAACTTTCTTTTTTTCTTTTTAACAATTTTCAGCATTTCTGGGAAGAACTGACGAGTCAACCAACGTGATTAATCAATATTGGAAATGCAAATATAACCCAAAAGAAGATTTTGGTTT